AGCTGTTTCCTTATCCATCAATTCTCTCATGCACAGCAAGGAGTCATGTCGGGTCTTTTGACGCTAAACGACTTTCAACGAGACCTCCCATTGATGACGCCCGATACAGCAGGGAATGCGCTCTGCGAAGAGCCCGGACAGTGCCAGGGGTCACCGTCTATCCAAGCGGCTGGCGTGGCAGTGTATCAAGTGGGATGTATGCTCGGTGCTCTTCTCGTCCTCTTCTATGGAGACGGTTGGGGTAGACGGTCCAGCACCTTCTGGGGCTCACTCGTCATGATTCTTGGCACCATCTTTCAAGCAGCTCTCGGTGGAAATGCGGCGACGTCGTACGCTCTCTTTGTTCTGGGCAGAGTCATTGGCGGCGTCGGTAATGGCATTGTCACCAGCACCATCCCCACTTGGTGAGGTGTTCGCGTGATCGCTTTGGCAAAACATCCTTGCTAACCCGATGCTCTTACCAGGCAATCCGAATGCGCAAAACCACATCAGCGAGGCATGTTGATCATGCTTAGTGGGTGTTTGATCGCAGTCGGCATCGCGATCTCCTACTGGGTCAATTATGGCTTCTTTTTCCTGTGAGTATGGATGCTTGGCCACCCCTTTCAGCAGTTTGTCGATACTAAGCATGTACCTTGCATGCACTACAGCGAGGGCAGCGTTCGATGGCGCTTTCCAATAATGTTTCAGTCGTTCTTCACCATCATCGTCATGATTGGCCTGCTTTGGCTTCCAGACAGCCCACGCTGGCTCATGATGCAAGGGCGAAGAGCCGAGGCAGTAGACGTGATCGCACGTCTTGCAGGTTCCTCTCCCGACAATGCAGAGGTGCGACAAGAAGTCAAGTCGGTCGAAGAAGCCATTCGCGTTCAAACTGCTGGCGGTGGGTTCAAGTACAGCGAACTGCTGGACCGCGGACCCTCGCGCAACCTTCAACGCGCCACCATCGCCATTCTTGCTCAATTCGCTCAGCAAATCACGGGAATCAACGTCGTCACCTACTACCTAGCGCTTCTGCTGGAAGACTCGCTCGGCAGAAGCCAGCAGGAGAGCCGTCTGATTGCGGGAATCAACGGGACGGAATATGCACTCGCGGCTCTCATTGCGCTGCCACTGGTAGAAAGGTCCGGACGCCGAAAGCTCATGCTGATCGGTCTCGTCGGCATGTGTGCCTGCATGGCAGCCATCGCTGGCTGCGTATCCACTGGCACAGTCGTAGATGGCGTGCCTGAGCTTGCGAATGGCCCGGGAATCGCAGCTGTAGCCATGTGAGTGTTGCGAAGAGTTCAAGCGTCACGAGTCGCGAGCGCAACGGCCGCAGAAAGCTTCGCAGGAGTTTGGAGGGTGTGCGCGCGGCGTGCACAGCACGTGAGTTGGCGCGGCCTATAGCTGACCACGCCGTCACCGCCACCCATGACGACAGGATCTTCCTCTACAATTCATTCTTCGACGTTGGCTGGCTTGGGATGACGTGGCTGTACCCCGCCGAGATCTCGAACTTGAGGACAAGAATACAGGTCAATGCACTGAGCACTTTGATGGTAAGTCACCCTAACCAAGGGCCGCTCGCTCATTCCGTCTTCGTCTCGTCCGAAAGCTCAACCCCTTCCTCACCTCTTCTTCCCCGCTACTCTCTTCCATTTCCCACCTCTCCTCACCATCGCTCCCTCTCTTTCATGCACGAAGAATTGGGCTAGTAACTTCCTCATCGTCATGATCACCCCTCCAATGTTGGCTTCTATTGGATACCAAACGTATATCGTCTTTGCCGTCTTTAATGCGGCACTCTTTCCGATGGTCTACTTTTTCTTCCCCGAGACCAAGGGCAGAACACTGGAGGAATTGGGTGAGTACGGTGTAAGAATGCGAGAAGAGCGAATCCTCCTTCTTACTTGCGCATGGTCATCCTCGCAGATGTCATGTTTGCAAGCGCAAAAGCCCTCAACAAGTCCGCAGTCAAACACAGTCTGGAAATGCCAAGGCTGCTAGGTGAAGAGCTGGATAGGGAACTCAACAAATATTTCGAAAGCCCGGCGTCAGCTCGGCCAGATGAGGAGCACGGCTTTGAAGGGAGGTAGCGACGGTCACAGTCGTACTTCGGGAGCTCTGATCTGCTCAAACTTGTGCAGGCTCATACCCACATTGTAGCGCAATTACGTATCCACAGGCGCACCCTTTTCACACAGACGCAATCTTCCTTATCAATGACTTTTCATGAGCTTCCGTTCTTGTACAAATTTGTGATTTGACTGCACCTCACCTACGGTCACTTATGGAGGGGTACAAACTGGTTGATCAGGAGGCGAGCTTGGGTTGATGAGGGTGTAGACGGTCTGTGACCCAGCAAAGAGCGTGCAGGCTATACCAAAAGCGAGAATGGCGTAGTCGAGCATCTTGTCCTTCCTAGACGTGGCGCAAGCTCGAAGGTGAAGCAGCGGTGGATCTGGCCGAAGAAAAATCCCGCAAGAATCAGCAAGATGTTTGATTCCGCGCGCGACTTTTGACACTCACAAATGAAACACAATGGCACACAGGCAACGCTGCCGATAAACGAGACAAAGACGTCAAGTGACGCGGAGCCTGCCCAAGCTGCGAAGCTACAGAGGACGACGGTACTGCATCTAAAGACGTTCTTCCAGAATTTAATCTTCCAGCTTTTTGACATGCGGTGCAACTCGTCAGCCCCAACGTGGTATCATTTTACAGACACCATCACTTACTTGTACTTGCCACTTTTGGCCGTGAAGATGCCTCGCTCCAAAATCGAGACGGCGGGAAACAGCTGGAGGGGCGTCGAGAGGAGAATGGCGACCGAGTACAAGAACTGCATCGCTTGCACGAACTTGCTGTTCTGCGGCAAGTTAGTAATGACGACAGTCTGAACCTTGCTGCCAAACGCCATGTAGGAAAGAGCACCAGAGGCGGTAAAGAGCACCATAGTACCAGCCATGACACCAGACAATGCGCGAGGGAATTTCTCTGGCTCCTTCATGCTCTCCGTAATGGGAATTACGAGACCGACCCCTTCAAAGGTAAACACTGCGGTGCCGATGAAGAGAGAAAAGGTCGAAGAGTTGAACTGGACGACATCCGCAACGCCCTTTTCGACGAGCTCGGTGATCTCGTACTTGAAGAGATAGATGATGCCGAAGAGGATAAAGACGTCTGCGACCAGGGCTGTTGAGCTCAGCTTGGCAATGCGTCGCACAAGACTGAGAGGCAAAAAGATCAAAGCTTGCGCCAAGATCAGCCAGACTGTCGGCACAAGTGTGCGGCAGTGGGTGACTGCCAAGACGAAGGCTTGCAAGTTCTGCGCCACAAAGACGGTGTATGCTGCGACGAAGCCAAATTGCGAAAAAACGATTGACGTTAGGATGGCCAACCTCATCTTTGGGCCATAGAGGATGCCTCCCATATCTCCGAAAGAAGCGGGGTACTTCAGGTTGGCCTTGACGAGAAGCAGGAAGGAGACCAGCGAGATCATGGCCACTGCACACAGGACGATGGTCGAAAATAAGAGGCCGCCATTCATGAAGGCCTTCCCGAGGAAGAGGATTCCTGTGCCGACGAAGGACTTGAGCAGCATAAGCACCGCTTCCGTCTCTGTAGCTTCCCCTCGCGGACGTCCACCCTCGGAACCCCGGCGAATGCGGCTGTTTGATCTTTGCAGAGCACGTCGAGACGCTCTTCTCGTTAGCAGAGCGGTGCGCTCAGTCGGCTCTCCATGGCTTCCACTTGGCCGACCAAGCTCCCTGGCCTCCTCTGCTCGTAGCTGTTCATCGTCGAGTCCATCGCCGTCGTCGTCCTCCTCATCGATGTCCTCCAAGTCTTCTCCTCCGTAGTGACCATAGAGCGCCAGGAAATCGATGAATGACCTAAGAGCGCGCGGCGGCGGACGACCCTGCTCGCCGGCTTGTGTCAGCACGAAGAAGCGGCTAAAGAAAGGATTGCGTCAGGGATCGATGCGAGCAACTACAACGGAGCGAGTCCGTTCGATTGAAGCTCACCGGAAACCGCCGGGCTCTCGGATCGCCGAAGCGTCCAAATCAGGATCGATGGTGGAAGTGCGAGGCAGGTGCAGACTCTCGCTCCTCGTCCTCTTCGCGCTCTGTCTACGATTCTTGTGCGCCCACCTGTACACGTCGTCCGTGATTGCGCCTCCTTGCATCGTCGCCGGGCCCAAGTACTCTTCCGTGTCCGTGTCGTCTCCCGACGAGTGACCAGGGAATCGTACCTGTTGGGATGGGCCGGCTGCATCTGACGCCGATGCGCCTGAAGCAGCCGAGGCATCGGTAGTACCTGTATCGATACGCGGGAAACCAGAGGCATCGGGCCGGACGAGGCTACGCGGCAGGAGAAGCACAAAGCGTGCCCAAGACGAGGTCAATCAAGCGAGTCATGCCAGGCCATCTACACGCTCTACTCACTGGCGATCGATAATCTTTGCTTTTTGCTCATCGCTGATGGGCAAGCTATCCAAGTCGGCAAGGTTGACCGGTGTTGTCTCATTTTCCGACACTGCAGTGCTGTTGGGTCTGGATCCATGCACGCTCGAGCTAGCCCTGCCTCCTCTGACCGTCACGCCTGACTCGGATTCAATCGGGTTGGCCAGCTCCGTCGCACCGAGACGAGGAGATTGAACATTGCTCGCCTCTCCTCTGGGCGGAATGTTTGGGATCACGGGCGATCGCGCCAGACCGAATGAAGCGTCTTGGTTGGCTGAAGACGATGACCGAGCGCGGAGAGCGACTGGTCTGGCTCCCGGCGTGGCCGAGTCCGACGAGTCACCACCGTGACCAGACATGGCGCTTTGGCGATTGAAACGGAAGGCACCAAAGGTAAAGACGAGGGCTACGGCGACTGCAGTAGCGAGGCACGCGCGATCAGGGCCAGCAGTACAACGCGAGGGTCGGTGCTCGCAGGCAGTTGCAAGGCAGCAGGGATTCTGAGCGTGTGCCAAGTTGGTGATGAAGGGATGCTGTCCATAGAAGGTGCGTCGTGAGCGTGAGGGTACGGAAATTGCTAGTCAATTTCGAAATTTCAAGGTTGGGCGGGGGGCAAGCGAACGCCATGTGCTCCGCTGCCCGCCCTGCTGCTGCGATGCTCGGCCCCTGCTGCTGCTGCTCCTGCGCACGCCCCTCGCGATCTTGCCTACGTAGATTCAATTTGAGCGGCTTAATTGATTGCGCGCCGCGGCAGCGCGCGCAATTCACACAAGTTATTAAGAAAAGACATGCAATGACCGAGGGCACCTTATGTTGGCGTCTCTCCTGCCTCTCCAGTTTACCCATGCCCGTACCGGTACCTACCAACCCACTTTGGTTTGTCACATTGGTGATTCTTGAAGGCAGCACCGCCGTTGTCTGAGTAAGCACACCATAGATATCCTCAGGCTTGACAGCTGCTCCTTTTCGCACAAGACACTTACATGCGCCAAGAAGCAGACCCCTTTAGCGGAAAGGTCAACTATGTCTTCATAGGCGTGAAGCTTCGTCTTTTCAGCCACTTCGATCGTACACAGCAGAGACTTTGGTAGCGTTTCATTGTTTTTGAGTCCTCATGTTTACATCTAGGGACTGTGTACGTCATATGCTAAGACAAATTTCACTACAGTCAAAGTCTTCACGGAGTGGGCTGTCCCTCATCGACCCAGGCTTGTGTCGTGTGTCGCATTCTCGATATCCTTTTGGGGCGAAGCTGACCGGGATCAGTCTCTCCGGCTTCTTGACGCTCCATGTAACGCTTCTTGGCCCTGGAAATAGCCGAGCTGGTTGGACCGCCCGGCTTCCAAAGTGTAGGATCCATGAGCCGAATCGCTGGCCCATGCTCCTGTTCGAGCTTCTTGGCCATCTCTTCTTGTCGCTCATACGTCGCTCGAGGTTGCGTAGGTCTTCCCTCTACCATCCGCAGAAACTCCTCTGCTGACCTGTGGCTTGGTAATGATTTGGCCCAGTATTCTGGCCGCAAAGATAGTGCTGCTTTGCCATACTCCTTGAAGAGATGCTTCCTGACGGCATCTCCGAACGGCAATGAACCGTCACCCCGAGCCTGCTCGATCAGCTCGTTGAATCTCATTCTCGCAGGCGAAGGCGCTGGGCGTGAACGCTGGTAGCGAGGTCTGTCCTCCCACGCAACGCCCGTCTTCCTTTCCATGGCCCGATGGCGCCTCGCAGTACGCTCGCTTGGCGGCTTGCGTGCATACGCAGAGTCATTGGAGGACGCTCCGTCTGCTTCTTTCCAGAGATCGGCGTACCTGTAAGCACGTTGTCCCGCTGGGATCTTACCCTTGCTGCGCGCCGCACTCTGGGTCTTAGATGCGCCCTGAGACGCGGCATCTGGAGTACCGGATGAGGGCGGTGTCGATGTCTGTCGTGCGGAGGCGGTGCCTGGTGAGGACACTGGTGAGTGCTGAAAAGCGAAAGAGGTGCGGGAGCCAGAGCAACAACGGTGGAGGGGCAGTGCTACTGTGTCAGACAGGTGTGGCTTATCCAATCGCAGGCTCGACTCACACTGATACGTCCAGGGCTGTGAATCGCATGCGTGATAGCGTCATGGTCAAATATCTGGCAGGTGCAACGATTAGCGGAGTGCGAAACACACGAAGATGAATGGAATTGCGAAGAGCCTCTCACTTGATGGTAATCATTGTGTTCTGCATGTTCCATCGCGCCTAGAGCCAGGTCGTGGGCGTGCCACTGAGAGGTGATGCTCAGAATCAATGTTCATTGCAGCGCTAGCCGTGCGCAACTCACGTGGTATCCACCTAGCGGACTCTGGAGCAGGTCGGTGAAGCTATGGTGTTCGACCTGAACGCTGACGATGTTTGAGCCAGCAATCTTTGTGCGGAGATTATGCGAGGCGGAAAACTTACACTGCTCCCATGATATTGACTTGGACTCGGCACCCGAAGGTCATCGTCAAAGCTCTGCTTGGCATTCTCTTGACTATTTGAACTTCCGTCGAATGCACCTGCCGGAGACTCGGGACTCACGTGAAATGTGTCACCTCTATGTGTGTTGATCTGTGGCGCTCCTTGCTGCTCAGGACGAGGGCTATGACTGGCTTCTGCCCTGTACTGGGGCAGGTGGGCTGTGACTTGACGTGCTGCCCCCAACACTCGCTCAAGCTCATCGCCGAGAGGTTGCCTTCTGACAAGAGCAGCGTCGAGTCCGGACATTGGTGCTGTCGCGGGACCTCGACGCTTGGTAAGAGGCGGAAATTCGCCTTGTCTATGCCGAGGTTGAGCTGCCCAGACTAGCGAGAACGCAAGAACGACCAAGGCCACGCTACCTTGCCGCATGGCGTATATCGCATTCGACAGCTGAGTGCTTGCGCGAGAGATGTCCGACGTTGATCAAAAAAGCGATTGTATGCAGGGCGAGGCTTCGCTGCTTTTCCGCGCAGCGGCGTAACGAGAGACGTGTAGCAAGTAGTTCTGATGCGAAGGTGTTTTCCAGACGCGCTGAGGCAAGTGGACTGAATTGTGAGAAGTAGCTAGCAGGGTTTCTGGACATGAGAAAGTGCTCAACGGGGCAAGCAACAAGGAAGCCCCTTCCGGACGCTTCGCACGAGCTAGATATGAGCGCACGAGAGGTTTGAACAACACGCTAGAGTGCTATCCTACCTTTAATCTCGCAAGGTGGCGAATTGGTGGCAAGAGCACTGCGTCCACGGCGCAGTGGGAAACCCGCAAGAGGTACGCCGAGTTTGCAATCCTGGCCGCTTCTGCACATTCGTGCAGGCAAAACGGCTCTTCGGTGGCGAGGAGGCAGGCAACATCTGGTAGTCATTGGGAGGACGCTTGAAAGGCTGACGCGCTAGCATTCGTCTTGAGAGCGCCACATGGGTGGCAAGCACCTGTCGTGACGGCGGATTGTGTCACCTTGCTGACGATCGAAGTGCAAAGTCTGAGTGCACGCGCCGTACATGATCGGCAAGGTAAAAGAGGCAACATCGACGCTCGCTTTCACCAAGTACAAACATGGCAAAGGCCTGCAATCGGATACACCCGACGCGGTGCCAATGACGCGGTTGTCGACGCGATGCCAATGACGCGGTTGTTGAGTGATGCAGTCTGGCGGGTGACTGAGCGGGAAGAATCTCCGCTCACGGCTCGCGCACCGTCGCCACCTCTTCGACAGTCAAGAAAGTAACGCCAAGATCATGTGGCGTGCCAGAGGGTCCTGTGAGGAGGGACGTCCGCATGCACGTTATTTCGAGTGTCGCTGATTTGTAGTGATGTGAATGGTCAGGGTTATCGCGGTGCCCAGGGAAGGCAACTGCCAGCTGAAGCTGAGGGTGCTATGCTCGCCACCACCGGCAGTCCAGTACTTCAAGTCAAACTTTTTCACGACGACAGCGTACTTCTCCATCCGAGCGACCGCAGGCGATTACCATGTGTCAGCAAGAAGGCCTTGCGAGTCTAACATTATTCGCGATTGCTTGACAGAACAGGCTTTGCTATCCTATCATGCGCCTTTGCTGCGACTTTGCGGTCAATGATTAAACGGCGAGCCAAGGTCTCTTGCTGTATCAAAAGGCGCGCCGACCTGAGTGCGAGTGTAGCCTATTTGACAAGCTCCTCGGTGTCGCGTCTAGAATTCGTTGAATCGCGCATATTTCGTCCAAATTGATGGCGATGATCCAGCGTATCCCTTGAAGAACACCGCGAGCAAGGATCGCACTCCTAGCGCAAAGCTCGCGGGATTGAAGTCGGGCTTGAACTCGAAACGCGCTGTGTGATCAGGTCCCGAAGTATGAATGGTCGTCGAGGGCCGCAGTCGATAGCCGAGTTGATAAGCACTTTGCGGTGAATATGTCGCAAGTTCTCGGCGGCTGTTCAGGCACGCAACGGTATCGTGTGCGCAGTCTTTACGTGGGGTTCCATGCGACCAAGGCATAGTAGACGAGCAACTGCGCTCATCGGAGGGCCTAACTCTTAAGCCAAAAGGCTTGCACCAGAGTATGCTGGAAGCTCCAATGATCACGGAAGCGCCGTCAGCAAAGCTTACTCCAATCTTGGACCGCTGATTTGCCTTCTGAGAAGCGCGTGATTGTCACAAGGTTGATTTGATATGGTTGCTCTTCGTGCGGACATATCCGGCACAACGAGAGTCGCCTCCATAACCGCTGTCAGTGGTAGCGTTGTCGAGAGGTGGGATCTAGGACGTGATGGTGACTGCGTCCTGCTCGCTCTTCAATGCCACTCATCGCGCCCTGTCGCTTGGGCCTTGTATGCCGTCACATACGTCAAAGGCAGCGCAGAGCCTATGACAAGAGACGCTGAAGACTAGACGGCACCAATGGCACGTATACACGGGCGCTTGCCCGCAGTCCAATGATTGTGGACAATACAAATCTCGATTAGTGAAGTGCCCCCAGTGATGACCGCACTCAAACTCTGCAGACTCTTGACCGCCGCCGAACTTGATCTGCCTCGGCGCGTATGATGTAAATCATACCCAGATCGCGGTGGATCGCCTCCTGAGCAGCCAAGACCGCACCTGCGGTATATCTCGGTACACCTCGACTTTGACGCCATGCGAACGGTCGCCAACAAGAATTTTGAGTGGTAAAGACTCTTGACTGTTGTGTTTGCTTCACCGCTGCTGCCTACCCGACTCTTGAGTGAGTATCCTGCATGATTGCTCAATGCTCATGCAGAGAATGCCTTGGTCTGAATTCAGGTGGCCAGCCACAGGTAAGTGAGGCGCCGCCGCATATATGATGTGATGTGGATGATGATGTTCGCAACCTTTTGCGTGGAATCACGGCGCCTACATGAATGTCGACCTGGGCATCAGCCGCGCGCGACTCGTGACTCGTGATTTGGGGGGCGTCGTCGGAGCTTGACAGCCATGCAGCATGCACCAGCGAAGCCCGTCATTCACGACTCTTGATTCTGTACCGCTTCACGACATCAGGGACCGAGGGCTGTCTCCGAAAGACTTCATGGGGACTTGCTGCATGATGTATACAGGTACTGTATGCTGCGCCCCCTGGGTGCACATGCATGCATCACTGCAGCCGCGAGCTTGAGAAAGCAACCAGACCTCGCAGGCAGCGCAGCAAACAGCATGCAGCTGTAGCATGCGCGTGCATGGCTCTCGCGGACCATGCATGAGGGGCGGCTGCTGCATGGGCTGACCCTTGACTGATCAAGCAGCTATAATGCATGGACGGCCTATAAGAGCTAGCTCGGTGGCATGCAGCATGCACAGGCAAGGCTGTAACTACAGTCATTCCCTTGCTCGCTCATCGCTCGCCTCTTGCATGATTGACCGCGCGGGGCTGACCCGCGTCGAGGCAAAACCCTTTTATTGACTGACGCAGCGCCCAACAAAGGGCCCACCGGGAATGACTCTGACTGAGCTGATGCGATCGAGAGACAAAGTTCGAAAGGTACAGCGCAGCCTTTGCGAGTCACGAGTCAAGTGTCGCCGCGGGGAGTTTGCAATTGTCTGCTCTAATAATATACAGTGTGACTGGATAGGATGCAGGCATATATATATACATACATGGCTTTTCTTCACTCCCACCTCGATCCCCATGCATCAATTTGCTCTGCTCTTGTCGCTTTCGACTGTTCTTGTCCTTCATCCGTTCGCCCTCACCCCAACACAGTTCCCAGCCCAATTGCGCAGAATCGTCAGGTAGATCCAACCAGCGGTAGACAGACTCTCGCACCTCCGCCCCTCTCCCACCAGCACACACTTCTTTCGATTCAAATACCGGTCAGGATCGGTTCCAAGCCATCATCTCCCCTCTGAACATCCAAGCGCTTCAAGCAGCAGCTCCCCTCCCCCCTTCCCGCTTTCGCAACAGCATCCCCTTACCACCAATCGCCCCTGCTCACAGAACTCTCCACGATGCGTTTCAACATGGCTTCCGTCTTGGCGCTCTGCCTCACTACCTTTATCGCATTCACCGTGGCCGACACTACTCACTTCGTCTCGCAAAATGCCGCAGCTCGTGCTGCTGTAGCTGCACGTGATGCTAGCGCACTCCTCGCTCGCGGTCACCATGCGCATCCCCATGCCCGTTCCCTCACACTGGCGCAAGGTCGCAAGTTCCGTGTCCGTCGTTCTACTGCAGCTCAGCGCGAGGCTCAAGCCAAGCTGAATGCGTACGCTGAGAACCAAGCAGCTATCAACACCAAGGTAAGAGGCGTGCCGTACGCCTTCCACTCGTAAAGCCTAAGCCGTCTGACTCACGCTCATCTGATCGGCACCCACAGTGGCAAGCTGCAGCGATGGAGTCTCTCAAGAAGGGCGAAACCCCTCAGACCTTCGAGCAATTCGCTGCTCAAGATGACGGGTCAGCTGACGATAGCTCAGATGACGCTTCCGATGAGTCATCTGACGACAATGACGACGAGCAGAAACCTACGTCCAAAACGAAGCCCACTCAGGAAAAGGCTTCCGATTCAAAGCCCGCTCAGGACACGAAGCCCAAGCAGCAAAAGAGCCAGGACACAAAGCCCGAACAGCATCAACAACAACAACACCAGCAACAACAGCAACAGGCCCAAACGCCCAAGCCTAGTCCGACAACCCACACCGAGACGCATTCCTCGTCCAGCTCCGAATCAACCTCAACTGGCCAAGCAGGCGCCGGCTCAGGCAAGCACTATTCTGGTGATGGTGAGTCTAGACCAATCTTCGTTGACGCGCTGTGTGCTGACTGACACTTTTTTGGCGCCGTCCCATTTAGGTACCTTCTATGCCACTGGTCTTGGCGCCTGTGGCTGGACAAACAAGGACAGCGACTACATCGTTGCCGTCTCTCAAGACCTCTACAACACTTTCGGCTTGTCCAACGATTCAAAGGTCTGTGGCCGCAAGATCACTGCGCACCGCGGCAGCAAATCAGTCACCGTCACTGTCAGCGACGCTTGCCCTGGCTGTGCCTGGGGATCGCTCGACTTCAGCCCCGCCGCGTTCAAGGCCCTCGGAACTGAAGACGAAGGTCGCATTCCCATCACCTGGACTTTTGCCTAGGCTGTATGCGTCCTTGGACCAGCATCTGCTCAACTCTGCGTGCAAGCGACGCTAGTCGTTGACCTTGTCAAGAGGAGCGAACCGGGTGTTCGCTAGGTGGTGCTGGCGCTTGCGTCCGCGGTCCAACTGCCCAGATCTGTATCATATCCATGGCTACTCTGTTCCCTGGCTCTCTGTCTCTGTCTCGTCATCTCAGCGACCGATTCTTCCCGCCACAAGCATCCACTCGCGTCCCCTGCACGCATCGCACGCCGTTACGATCATCCGGCTTCTCATTCTCTACTGTTCCCACACGACCCGTCTCGACTCGCACGTCTTCACTGCAGAGCTTTTCTGGCAAATTGCTCAGTCGTCTCGTCGACGCATTCAACAAGACCCTCGACGGCCCTCTTGTAGTACTCTCCTGGTCCTCGATGGCACCGCTTCGCCCTTTGTCCCGTTCCTGGCCAGGCTTGCCGTTGTACTCGTGTATCTCTACCTTCGCAGGTCGATCGCAGATTGTACTCTAGTTCCCGCGCTCCTTTCCTAGACTTTGCCAAGGGGGCCTTCATAGCAATCGATGAGAGGCGGACGCGGCCAGGCGCTGCGTTCGATGTGTCGACCACAAAAACAGTGACCAGCGGATGATGCGGGGCCCTACGCGAATGTAGACATTGCCACGTTGTCTGCCGTCTGTCTGCGAGTCATGGCAGGTAGTGCGATGATCTTGAAGATGAAAAGGAGTCCCTGGCGCTGCTGGATTTTGCGGCCGCTACGGCTCTCTTTCGGGTCTCGTAAAGTAGGTATGGGACCTGACACTGACAGCGAGGCAAATTCGGTCGCGTGACGGGCCGGCGGAGCAAAATGTCGCTGTCGCGTGGTCGACTGTGGCGCCGCGAGAAATGTGAACGTGAGAGCGCAAACGTGGAGGGTGTGCGTGCAGCAGCAGAGCTCTGTCCACTCCACCATCATATCATATACCAGGAAAGACTCAAGGGCGAACAAGCTCGACCAAAAGCAACTTTGAATACGTGATCGAGCTGTACTGCTAACGATGACGAGCGCAAAACCTCGGTAAGTATCGTACTGCCCAAGGAGGAAGTGCTTCACAAGACGATGTCTGGACGTGCCAGCACATGCTCATTGATGCTGATGAGCGGATCACTCATGCGTCGATATCAGGCACGATTACTACCAAACGGACCAGGTCGTGCACCTGTCCATCTATGCGAAAGGCTTGACGAGGCCAGAAGTCAGCGTCAAGATCGAGAGCAATGCTTTGAATGTGCAGATTCGACCTTCTGACGCACAGAAGGATGCAAATCAGCTCGTCATAGATCCACTGTTTGCAGAGGTGGATGGCGAAAAGTCGACGTTCGATGTCAAGGCCAGCAAGATCGAGGTGCACTTGGTCAAGAAGGCGAGCGGACAGTGGTCCGCCTTGCAAGGCATCTCGACCAGCTCCTCTTCCTCTCCCAGTCGTAAGCATCTACGCACTTCGTTGCTTTTCCGTATCTTTCGTCGCGCGTCTCTTCTGATCATTTTCGTCGCTTTGGAATGTCGATGCAGAGGCCACTGTCACAGCGCCACACAATTTCGCACCTTCATCAACATCGGGCATCAAGGCACGTCGATCCAAATGGGACTCTTTCACCGACGACACAGACGAACCATCTCAAGCCCAACAAGGGTCCACATCTGACGACAAGACTTCCACAAAGGAAGGAGGCCAAGATGGCAACATTGACGCATTCTTTCAAAAGCTCTACGCCGATGCCGACGACGATACGAGAAGAGCCATGCAGAAGAGCTTTGTGGAGAGCGGAGGTACGGCTTTGAGCACAAATTGGAAAGATGTTGGAACGAAAAAAGTGAATGTCGTCCCTCCAAAAGGAGTAGAGGCGCGTAAATACGAGCAATGAATGACGTTGGACTGCTCGACGACGCCTTTCATTGGGCGAGAAAGACACTACGTCACGAGAATCTCGAGCGTACCGAATTCGACGACGATGGTATTGTCGTCGGCAGTGCTGCCCAGCCGGCAGCTGTAGGCCCAGAGTCTCCAAGGTCACCTCCTGTTAGCCAAATTGGCAACTTCCTCCTCCGACAGCCCTTCCAGCCTATAGCAACAAGCAAAACATCAGCACCTTCACTGGGACCGCGGTGCCCTCTTCCACCCGCTCGCTCACCTTTTCAACAGATAATCGACCTCGACTACCTTCGTCTCGGGAATGATGCGTTCCCTGTAAATCCTAACCACCTCCTCTGTGTCGATCTTTGCTGTGCCCTGTTTGCCAGCGCCCAAGAGCGTGTCCAGATCTTGCCCGTATACTTTCGCCTTCTCTGCAAGACGCACGAGCAGAGCAGCCTCAACTGCGGGTTTGGTGATGAGCGCTTCCAGCTTGACGCGATCTTTTGCGCGTATGGGCTCTATAAAATCTGCGGGCGAGGATTGGAACTTCGACTCGGATACGAACATGCCTGGAGCGCGACCCCGCGAGTCGAGGGGTGAGTGTAACAAAGGGTCTGCCGTTGGTGTGCATGCTCTATGCTGACTCAATTTCCGCGTGCAGCCACGTATCATCGCTCACCGAAATGTATGCGTCTAGAAACAGCGCTCAGTACTCCCACATCCCTCGTAGCAGCGCTACCATACTGCCCATCATCCGCCTGCAGGCCATGTTTTCGCGTGATGGCGGGCACCACATCGTCCCTGTACCAACTCCAGATGCGCGAATTGGCATTGACGACTGCCGCTTTGAAGAGGACATCGGGGTATGTCAAGGGAGGCAAGATTGCTTTGGGCAATTGCTCGATGGGCGTGAAGGGGTATTCGTCTGGAGTATCGAAACGCCGAACTTTGGCTGCGGGTGAGTGTTTCGAGCAAGGCAAATGAGTAGGCGAGACGAGGCGCCCCCATCCTGTCAGCATATACATGGCCAAACAGCCGCTGCATTCCGGCACACTCGCCATGAGCAGCCTCCGTCTCTTTGAGGAACCATTCGACCCAGCTGGCTTCCCAATTCTCCTTTTCTCTGAGCTCCTTGAACGCTCCAGGCGCGTACATCGGCGGATTGTGAGCATACTGGGCCCTCTCGATGAGATCGAACACGATGGTATCTTCGAGCCTGATAAGCACTGCTCGGATGTGATCGAGAGACAGGAGCGTCTGGCGATCCACAGAGGTGTGTTGCCCTGAAGATCCGTTGGATGACATTGTGGTATCCGTGGGTGGTGCGTGTCGAGAAGCTGCTGCCCTGCGAGGGACCAAGGAACGCAGTGAAGCTGTCAGAGAGGCTGCACGCTGACTGTGCGTAGAGCTCGATCGTTGAGCGGGGGGCGAGCTGCTTGCTTGTGAGCGCCAAGCTGGCCGACTAGGATGCTCTCCAAGAAGGTCGACGTGTTCGTGCGGATGACCGCTCCTAGAGGTGTAAGTGGAGTTGTACGCGCCTAAAACGACTCTAATGATAGCCGCGCAGTGATCGCTTGGCCGATGGCTTTGTTTGCTGTGGTGTGTTGGGTATGTGGATGTGTGGCTTTGGAGTCAGAAGGGTGCGTGGTGCGTGGTGCGTTGATGAGATGGCAGATTGGAGCAAAGCCAAGTCAAATTAAATTGGTGGTTCATTGGTCCATGATTCACATGATTGACCCATGCATGCATGCAGGCAGGCAGCAGAGTGGTGAGTGATCATGCAACCGCGCGTGCGCTCGAGCCACGGGCGCCGCAAGCAACTCCGTTGGTGTGTGTATGCCGCGT